GGACGCTCCACGCGGCGCGCCACCGCCCCCTTGCGGGTGTCTGGGTAAATCATCCTGGCCTCTGCGCTGCAGATGTGGGGACTGCCTTCCCGTGGGCGTGGGGACTGCTCTTTCCCGTGGACGTGGGGGTCTGCTCTTTCCCGTGGACAGCCGTGACTGAGTCAAGTGCCTGCCTGAAGGGTACCGTGACCCGAATCCACGGGCCGCCGAGATGTCTCTTTGCGGCCAAGGACTCCCAGTACCCGGGAGACACCTGGGGGGACATTTGGCTCTAGGAAGTACTGGCCCCAGGGAAGCGGCTCTCAGAGGAACACTTCTTTCTTCTGCCTGCCTGGTTTCTCAAGCGAGTGTCAGATGGAAAGCGAGGGCAGCAGGGGGGTTATATTCATACAGTTGGAAAGCGACTATAGAAAATTCCATAGAAAACTGGAATCTCCGATCTCGAGCAAACTCACAGGCCTCTCAGGGAAGCTTAGGTTGGCTCAGCATCTCGGCTGTAGAACTTTCCATTGCTCGTCACAATCTTGGTTCTGAGCCAAAGGTTAAAAACTCAACTGAGAGGTAAAATTACGCTTCTTTTATCCACACAGCATAGAAGTTCATTAAAACATCACCAAACACATTAGCCACAGCACGGAGTGTTTTGAGTCACAGTGACAAGTTCTCTGAATGCAGTGACGATGTGGCATTACCCTGTGGCAGCCGGGTATGTGTCTTACCGGCTAGGCTTTCTACAGCTGCCGAGGAGCAAGGTAGCTGGCTTCCTGCTACCCAGTCAGGACCTCCAGCTCTACAGCTCCTGCTCTGCAGTCCCGCTGCTGCCCGAGGGCACGGACTCATTTACACACACAGACCGAGTGCTCTCAACGTGCCGCGCACTGGGCTTGGTTACAGGATAACTTCATGGAGCTCAAGTTCTAAGGGAGGCTAGAGACCGCAGAGAAATGGGAAAACTCAAGTATGTGCTGTAAAGGAAATGACCAGGCGTTGTAATAGAGAGGGACCCGGGAAGGCCACCTTCAGGTTGGGTAGTCAGGGAGGCCCCTCTAAAGAAGGGATGTTTGGGCTGACACCTGAAGGGGGCAAGGAACCCACCCAGCAGGCAAGGACCTGGAGGGAGCACGGTGCCCATTCAAATCCCTGACCTTACCACTCCTAATCCGTGCTGCTTGCTTTGCTCTCTACTTTTCTCCTTGTTTTCTCTGTTGCTTCTTCCCTTTTATGTGAAGAAGCTGGGTGTTTTGTTTTGCTTTGTTTTTTTCTAGAAATCAGAAGTTAAATAGAACATTTCTGGTTACATTTGGTATAATCTTCAAGTCTTTTTNAAGTTAAATAGAACATTTCTGGTTACATTTGGTATAATCTTCAAGTCTTTAAAAGATGTTTGGTTTTCTTCTTTCCCAATAGACAAGGTGTAATAAATAGCACTTTTGGTGAGCTCATTTCTCATTTAGTTTCACACACTTTGTAGCATAAAGTCTTTTTAGATGTTCAAAAGAAATGAACATATCTGGTGAACAACCTTAAGATTTAATCACATGTAATAATTTCATTTTTCACCTTTTAGAGTTTGATAGAAGACAATCAATATCCTGAATAATTTCAGAGGTTTTTTTCAATGTCACTGATACTTTCTTTTCATTAACTTCTGGCCAGGTTCCTGAATAGTTTGGTTTGCAATCAGAAGACCGTTCATTCTGCTTATTAGAAATCTGGTTTAGAACACCACTGCTCACCAGACAGGTCAGGTAAAATTACATCATTGCTGAAGTACTTGGTTCTTAGCCTGAAGCAATATTATCTACTTTTCTTTTTTAAGACCTAATTCTCTTCTCATCATACTACTGAAAAATACTTGGAGTAGAGAGACTGAATAGCAAATGACCAAATGCACAAAATGCTGCATATATTTTTTTAAATCCTTGATGAACAGTGAATGTTTCACAAGTTAAAACTCTGTAAGTTCATAAATTTTTTTCTCAAAAATCTGAAATAAGAAACAGTTCAAAATCTTGAAATAGTTCTTTATTAATAAAAGTGTTTTACAAATATATATTTTTAAATTTACAGGTTAGGTAAAATACATCTGAAGTTCAATATCACTTCTCATAGTTATTGTACAGAAGTCATATATACAATTCTTTGGCTTTCTGGTAATTTTAATACCAGTCATTTGAAACAACAACCTTAAGATTTAATAACATNCTTCTCATAGTTATTGTACAGAAGTCATATATACAATTCTTTGGCTTTCTAGTAATTTTAATACCAGTCATTTGAAACAACAACCTTAAGATTTAATAACATGTAATAATTTCATTTTTCACCTTTTAGAGTTTGATAGAAGACAGTCAATATCCTGAATAATTTCAGAGGTTTTTTTCAATGCCACTGATACTCTCTTTTCATTAACTTCTTCTGGCAAGGTTCCTGAATAGTTTGGTTTGCAATCAGAAGACTGTTCATTCTGCTTATTAGAAATCTGGTTTAGGACACCACTGCTCTCCAGTAACACTAAGGTGCTCAGTCAAGGAGCTTGTGCCTTTATACAAGTATCTTTAATCTCAGAAACCCTCACCTCCATATTAAAATGACTTCTCCATTGGGAGGAAGATGTCTTGGGTTCAAAATAGAGTTGGCACTTCAGAACTTATCAAGTCTATCCCTTATAGATGAAGAAACTAGAGTATAAGAGGGGGAAAGGAAAGAGTATATAAGTATGAATTTGTGTTTGGATAGAGGTTTGGTGATAGGGAGGAAATAAAAATCTCAGTAAACCTTTAGCTAGACTTAAAAAGGAAAAGAGAGGATTCAAATAAAATTAGAAATGAAAAGGGGGAAATTACAACTGATAACCACACAATACAAAGGATCATAAGAGACTACTATGAACAATTATACACCAACAAATTGGACAATCTAGAAGAAATGGATAAATTCCTAAAAACATAAATTTACCAAGACTGAATCATGAACAGAAAGTCTGAACAGATGCAATACTAGTAAGGAGAAGGAGACTGAGTCAGTAATCAAAACCTCCCAACAAATAAGAGCCCAGGACCAGTTTCACTAGTGAATTCTACCAAACACTTAAGGAAGAATTATTACCAATCCTTCTCAAACTCTTTCAAAAAAATACAAGAGGGAACACTTTCAAACTCACTGTATAAGGCCAGCATTACCCTGACAACCACGACCACACAAAGACACTATAAGAAAAGAAAATTGTAAGTCAATATCACTGATGAACATGGAAAAATCTTCAATATCCCGTACCTTCTACAGACAAGATACTTCTCAAATATCTTACTCATTGAAGATCCACAATATATGTGTGGATTAATATAAACTACAGTCATTATTAAGCCTAGAATGGAAAGGGAGTAATCATGCAGAACAATACATTATGTTTAAAGGATACAATTAAACTTCTGTATCTTTTCAAGTTCAGCAGCCACACACCTGTGGGGAAAAGAAAAGTAAGTTCATGCTAGTTGTCTGATTCTTTTTTATCTACAATATTTCAAATAAGCATATTCGATCTTTTTCACAAAGGTTAGAATTTTAGACAGAAAAACCTAAAAGTTAAGAATTCTCTTTATATTGGCTTTATTATCAACAAATCAGCTCTTAAAATGAGGAAGCCAAGTGAATAAAGTACCATGTCAAGGACTTTTTAATCAAGTATTGACATTTGAAGGCAATGGCCTTCCTGCTCCAACTTCTTAGTACTAACCTGGCATACCCTCTATTTTCTTCCATAAAGTATACTCAAATTTTAAAAACCGACTAAAGTCCCACCAATTTTGTAAAATAAGTGGTCTTTCCTTCCTTGAATTCCTATAGGTTATTTTAATTAACCACCTACTTATTTGTAATGTCATCTCTGGAATGGCTTTATTTTCTGACCTTTATGCCTACATTGTCTCTTTTAGGAGCATGGGCCTTTTCTTATTCTTCTGTATTTTGCACTTATAATAAGGTTTCGTTTCTATGGAACTCTTAGACCGCCATGCTTTTATGCAGTTGAACTAGGTCACAANACTTATAATAAGGTTTCGTTTCTATGGAACTCTTAGACCGCCATGCTTTTCTGCAGTTGAACTAGGTCACAAAACAACATTTTCTATTACGTTCCTTCTGGAATAGACTACCTACTCATTTCGTTGTTTTTTTAAACAGTATGCTGAACATTCTCTTCTTGACTTGAAGGGTTAACATGAACATTAGCTCTTACCATCTTCCACAGAAACACTGTGGGGCAGCTGGTGTGGGGCAGAGGCTGCACACAACTCCAGCAGCGCCTCTTGTGTGTTCTTCCTCTTTCCTCATCAACCACAATAAAACACGAGCAGTGCATACAGCTAGTAAACTGTAACTCAACTAGCTCTCTGCAAAACTAATGAGGACATTAATGTCTAAGCATCTCTATTCAAATCGCTAGAAAAGTCATCTTCACAGTCCATAATAGGATATGTGACTTGTCGACTTTACTGGCTTGACCACAATGGACCACGTGCACCTCCATGTCAGCTTATGCTCTTTCCCTGTACCCAGCCTGTGGGTGGGGAATGAAGAGATCTTTCATCATTTAGGCATCCGGGATGCAGACTTGGATATGACTTACTTCAAAGCCTGCCGATTCTTCATCCTTGTAAAACTTTTTGTTTTGTTTTTTAAACAGGACACATTTTTCTGGCCACAAGCAACAAAACAAACTACCTTTAATGGTGTTGCTCAGATGATGAACCAACTTCTTATAAAATACCTTCTGTCCTGTTTTTTGACTAGCATCCCTATTAAACAGTTGAACCAGGAAGCTAATAATAGAAGGTGAGTTGGGGAAAAAATACTGAAATATAATTTAGATAGCTATTTATTATTCTCTTTCTTCCCTTTTGACAGGAAAACAATTTACAGTTGGAGATGTCTCAGGTTTTGCAAAGGAAATGGGGTTAATGCAAGCGACTGTATCTCCTCCCTCCTTCTCGATTCCTTTGTCTCTCTGTGGCCCCTTGTTGCTTCTACCCCTAGCAGCTGTCACCAATCTGCACTTCTCTCTTCCCTCACTTTTTTGTATGTCTTGACAGTTATGCTCTTCTAAGCCTTCATATAAAAAGGCTGGCACTTTACAAACTGCCAGCTGAGCAATGATGAAGTGACCAATTTTATAGCTATGTACAATTTTTCTTTCTTCCTAACTATGTTTTTTGCTAGCTACTTAGACAACTTTTCTATCCCCAAACAGTCTGTAGTCTATCTCCAAACAGGTGAAGAATGAGGGATATGCAAAGCTGAATCCTTAAAATACCTGAGAAAGTCAAATAATATCTACTGATGTGATTTGTGCCTCTTTCTGTAAGTAACTTCAGAAAAGGTGCTAAGAATCTCACTTAATGTTTATATTTTTTTCACTGTGCTATGCTAAACCACCTTAAAGCTTACTTTAAAGTTTCCTAAATTTTCCTGGTATGCTTCTTTTCCAATATATTCAGACTATACGCTCAGTGATACTAACTTTCTTAATGACCTTTCTTCTTGTCATTTTTTCCATTTAGGAACTTGTAATTCCATCANAATATATTCAGACTATACGCTCAGTGATACTAACTTTCTTAATGACCTTTCTTCTTGTCATTTTTTCCATTTAGGAACTTATAATTCCATCAAGTATGAATTCCTTTAGTGATTACAAGATCCATTCAAAACTCACACTATGTATACCTAACAGACAGCATTTGCTCCATAAAAACAATCTTCTCACTATCTCCATTTTTACCTCTGTCCTTGCTTCCTCCCTAAAATGTCTTAATTTCCCTAAATATTTCTTTGAGCCCAGTGCTAGTCCCCTGTACACTGAAAGGCACACAGAAGGGACTAAAATAAACGCTTTATTTGTTGATTTGCCAATTAATGTGGGGGAGGTCATTAATATGATGAAAATTATTTTAAAAAGTCTACTTTTTCTGAAAGCTTATTATGTAGTCAACATTTTATTTCCCTTAATATTACTAAAAAAAAATTTTAAACTGCCTTTAAATTTTTCGACAAAGTTTTCAGGAAAAACTTTTAACATTGAAAGAATCAGTCATTTTGACATGATGTTTTCTGACCTTCAGATGAAATGTAATATGATGAACTATAATAAATTAGATACCTGATTAAAGAAAAATATTTTTAATATTAAGCTATCAAAAATGTAGAGTTAAATATATTTAAGAAAAGATTTTCTTGGGAAAAAAGTCTTCAAGTTTACCATTTACCATTTTAATTTTGAGTATTAGTTCGCTCTTCTACACAAATTAAATTTAAAAGAAATATGAATACCAATTTTCTTCAAGAACAGAAGATGACAGATGTGTGGGCATCTCTCTCTGACTAGCCTGGGTCAGTCTTCTGCACCATGATATTACTGTTGACACATATCTAGATTGAATACATTAAAAGAAATATTTGAAAAATGAACATGTATAATATTTATAAAAATATTAAAAAATGATTGAAAAATTAAAACAATTTGGGGAAAAGGGTAAAGAGAAAATTCTAAAGTGAGGCATTTACTGGGCAATTCTTTGAATCTTCTTCATTTGAAATAGAAAAAGCAAGTTTTTTTCACTTATCAAGGAGAAAATGATTTACTCACATTCATGATTAATAAAGATGAGGTTAAGAAAACAAAGGAGATACTTGGATTGCATTCAAAGTTGAAATTCAGATATCTAAATTCTCCTTTTAGTTTTTCAAAGAAAAATGAATTTCATCAAAGTCTATCATGTAAATGTGTTTACACGTAAGACTAAGTAGTTACTTTTTAAAAATTAAACTAGAAAACACCCATTAATGTGTATATATGTGTAAACACATACACACACACATATGTATAATTATATGTAACTCACTGTGCAAATCGAGTATCAAGTTTACTAAAATGATTGTTCTGAAGTGACTAGCGGGAACAAAATTGAGGCAAAATTGCCTTTTTGAGGCAAAATTGCCTCTTTGAGGCAAATTATTCAAACTATCAGTGAGTTGGAGCATTTAGACCAAAATGCAATAAATCTCAACAGAAAAATAAATTCAAGTGATAAAAAAGAGCAATTCTTTTGTGAACATTCTCTAAAAATCACTAAAATGTCAGGAACATCACATGTACAATGATTTTTACAAATTACATAAACCAAAAGAGAGCACATTCATAAAAAGCTGATCTCAAAAATCTCCATTTTAAGAATAGTCATCAGTTAGTTTATTTTTTCTACTTTATAGAAATATACAGAAGTGTAGTTATTTGTGGTTGCAAACCTTATTTCAAACTGATTAGGGGATTGATTAATTGGTTAACACAATTGACAACAACCTCCCCAGCAAGCCAGTTAGATCTAACACGTTCATTTTGAAAAATCGCTTGAATACAAATGGAAATGATTAAAGCTGACCTGATCTTTTTAGTTATGCTAGATGCCAATATTACTGTAAACTCTGAAACCTGTTGAAATTACTTCATATCTACATGTAAAAACTAAAACAAAATATAACATGTAAATACGGTTTATATGTTTTCACTCTGTCAAAAGTTTTTTACTAACATGAAAAAACTTTTAAAAATTGTTTTTCAGTACCTTTCATATGGTCCGGAGTGTTCAATCTGAATTAATTGATCATGTCCATCGGGAAAAGTTATCTTACACCAACCTAAGCTGAGACCTTGATTTACCTTAAGAAGCACAGAGGAAAGGTAAGTTTTACCATTATGAAAGTGAAAACCCCCACAAAAACCCACAAGAAAACCTTCTAAGTTAACAATTTAAAAAAATATAAATTGGAGTGAGGAACCCATTTGGATATTTGTAACATCATTCACGGCCATACAAAATTATCAACTTAAGCCCAGCCGGGCATGCNTAACAATTTAAAAAAATATAAATTGGAGTGAGGAACCCATTTGGATATTTATAACATCATTCACGGCCATACAAAATTATCAACTTAAGCCCAGCCAGGCATGCCTCAGCGGTTGAGCATCGACCTGGGATCCAGGCGATTGGGGTTCGATTCCCGGTCAGGGATCGATCAATGACTCTCTCATCATCGATGTTTCTATCTCTCTCTCCCTCTCCTTTCCTCTTTCTGAAATCAATAAAGATATATTTAAAAACAAAACAAAACAAAATTATCAACTTAAAAATTAGCTATGAAAAAAGCTCCTACATGGACAATGGTGGGGAGGGGGGTGGGACAGGGTGGAATGGGTCATTGGGGAGAAAAAGGGACATCTGTAATATTTTAAACAAAAATAAACAGAAAAAAAGGANATGGGTCATTGGGGAGAAAAAGGGACATCTGTAATATTTAAAAAAAAAAATAAACAGAAAAAAAAGGAAAAAAAAAAAGAAAAAAGCTCCTAGATTTATTGAATTTCGAGTCCTGCCTGTGGTTGCCTTGGCAACGCCAGAACAAATGATTTCAAGGGCTGTATACAACCCATGGGCTGGACATTCCCTACCTCTGATAAAAATCATTAAAAGTTTATGGTGAGTAATTTAAAAGTTATATTCTACATAAGATATAATATTATTTAACCACTACTCTTATATAATTACCAAAGAACAAAAATACTAGTGTCTCTCTCTGTAATGAGTTACTTTATAAAAATGACTATTTGCCACACCTGTCTGATTTTGTTAGGAAATCCAATAAGATCAGTAAAGCCTCTTGACAGATTTTATACTTCAATAAACAAACTGACCCAGCTGGAGTGGCTTAGTTGGTTGAGCGTCATCCTGTGCACTGAAAGGTTGGGGGTTTGATCCTCGGTTAGGGCACATACTGAACGCAACCAATCAGTGTTTCTCTGTCTTTCTCACCCCTTCCTCTCTCTCCTTCTCTCTCAGCATGTTCTCGGTGAGGATAAAAAAAAAAATTGAGAAAGAACAAAAAAAATCAAGTACTCATAGTAAAGTAGTACAGATTAAAAAAACCCACAAAATAGATTTCAGTCTGACAGGTGAGTCTGAAGTATACTCACCTGTCTCTTTTCAGTAAAAGAACCAAAATTCCAATTTAGGGTTAGAGTAACGCCATCTATAAAGATAACATGTACTTTGTCATCAGAATATGCAAGAAATCTTCCCACGCTGGGTATGAACGATTCTCTCAAAAGCAAAGGCAGCATATTATCATTAATCCCAGGAACCTGAAACCAAATAAGTAAAAATAGCAGGAAGCGGAGTTAGCAACTGATAAAACTTAAATGATGAATGAACTCTGAGGCAACTTTCAGATTCTTATGCAGAAGCTGAATATTGTAGAATCCTTATGTTTGCTTAACTTTCCCACAAGTGGATGCCCAAAACAGTCTATTGCAAGCAGACTAAGTCACCGTTCTGCTCTGAACATAGACAAAAGCTAGGAACTACAGCAACATAAGTTTATAACTAAATTAGTAAAGATACAGAAATCAAAGTCTGAGAATGATTTCCTACAAGTCAGCATTAAAGAATGTACTTTTATAATATGCAAAGAGAGTAGAAGACTGTAATACCAATGTTTACAATAACTATGTTTTTACATTATAAATCCAACTAATTCCCATGGCCTTCCCACTCCATTTACAAGAAGTAACAAAAACAAACTATATGCAATGAAAATAAAACCTAAAAGTCTCATTTCGCAGTGTTTATCTATTAAGTAGATATTTTTCTGAATAAACCAATATTAATATTACAAAGAATTTCTCACATGACTTAAATGAAAGTAATTTGAACTTAGGAGTTTATATATAAACAATAAAAATAATTAAAAATATCTTGCTCTTGAAAGAATTTTAGGATACCATTTTCCAGCAGCATATACGATAGTTATGGCTTAAAGAAAGCCTCATCTTGGCACAATGCTGAAGAATCCTGTGAACATGAAAAACACGACTTAAATGTATGCAAATAATGGCATTTCCCAATTTTAGCAAACCATTTTCACTGCCATATGACGTCTCAGCCAAGTAGTTCATTTCCATTGAAATATGTCCAGACCTATTTCCCTCCAGAAATCCTTAAGCCCTTTTAAGGGAACTACTACTCTTTCCCTTTGGCTAATCTTACCTACTTAAGGTCATGCCTCTAATTTTTAGCAATGAAATGACTCCAAATAGAATTTTCAGGTGCTCCTTTTTAAGAGGTGATAGATTCACAGTGCCTAAAAGGGTTAGCATAGTCTAAGAGTGGTCGGATGTCAATCAACTCTCCCTAGGAAATCAAATTACAGACCTGTTTCTTCAAATCTACTTTGGAACTTGCTCAGACATAGTTTATACAAATAAATCATCTAACCCAACAGTCCACTTTCATTCTTCTGAGTGCTACAGATTAATTAGAATTTAAAAACAAAACACATGAACCAAACTACACTGCATCTTCTGTACACATTCAGAAATCTTTATTACTCTGAGGATAATAAAGTATAAAACTTTAAATGTATATCAGATCCTCAACTCGAGTCTATTACTCCTCAACAATGACGTGAATATACCCAGAGAAGTTGCCTGTTTCCTGCCAGCACTTGTTTGCCACACGTAAATGTTTCTCTGTATTTCACTCAACAGTTCAAAGACAAAGTGCTCTTTTAATAATATAGTGACTACCTTATTTTACAAATGATGAGACCAGAAAAGTTGACAGATTTTACCAAATACACATTTCCACTGAACGACCAATTCTTAATCTTACCCTAACCACCAGAGAAGGTATCAAGGTTCTCAGACACAACACTTGATTCAGCCGAATGTGCAGAACTTACCTGGTGGCCTGTTTAATTAGAAAACTCACAGAGAACGGACTTCCTGGTGTATCTGGAGGAAGGTTATTTACGGAATACATTTTCTCTTCCCTCTGAAAATTATTTTAAAATGAAAAATCTCATTAATAATAAACATTGGCCATTATTATGTATTTTTTTGAAATATGTATTTACATAGTGACATAGGAAGCAGTTATTTTAACTTAAAGGCCATAAAAGGTATATTTTTAAAGGTATTTTATGATGTTTTTCCATTTTTCCTTTCTATTCAGAAGTTATATTCTCATAGCCTATAACCTACTGTCCAATTTAAATCTTGACTATACCTAACATGGTTACAAACGAATTTTCCTAAATATTAGCAGGAAACATCACATAAGCTTTTCCTTTAGACCAAAAAACACAAAAACCTAAACATCAAAAAATTATTTTAATTGAATGACTATCATGTTGTTATATTTTATTCATGGAATAACTATTGCTACAGTTTGTGGAAGATATTGTTTACTGTCTTGGGTTCTTGAATTTAAAAAAATTGTTATTTGTTCTGAATTTTCTTTCTCAGACTCTTTAATGCTAGTGTTTCCCAGGACTCTGTCTCCAGTCTTCTCCTATGACTTCGTGATTTCTTCTTGGGTTATTTCCATAGGGTTCAAAGCTATGTTCATANCTCTTTAATGCTAGTGTTTCCCAGGACTCTGTCTCCAGTCTTCTCCTATGACTTCGTGATTTCTTCTTGGGTTATTTCCACAGGGTTCAAAGCTATGTTCNTCGTGATTTCTTCTTGGGTTATTTCCATAGGGTTCAAAGCTATGTTCATAATAATTATAATAGCAATGGCTAACATTTATTGAGCAGGTATGTGCTAGGTACCTATTTTTAGATGAGGAAATGGAGGCTTTGGGGCTAAGAAGTAGCAGAGCTCTGTTTTGAACCACAAGAGAGTATAGCCCATACTTTACCATCAAAAGTTAGTATATAGTAGGCACTCAAAAAATAATCTGTGCCTTCATCCTGGACTGTAGACTTGAATATCTAAATTGTTACTGGGCTTCTCCCCTGACTATCTCAACTTCACATAAGTTGAGATCTCAACTTCAGTAAGTCAAAAATGGAAGTATCTTCATTTCAAATTCACATTTCCCCCTTCTCTGCTTTGTATTCGCCTCTGGTATGGGATCATCACGTGCTATTCCCTCTTCTCAGTTCCTTCCTCCAGCACCGCCCTGTGTCTGACTAACTCCTACTTTTCTTTGAGTCTTAGGAAAGGAGGTCCCAGAGACAGGGTGAAATCCCTTCGTTACATCCACAAGCACAGTACCCTCTGCTCCTGCTTCTTGGTTTTCATTGAGTTTTGTTGTTATTTCTCACCCAAGGGTATTTTTTCCATTTTTCAGAGAAGGGGGAAGAGTGAGAGAGAAAGAGAGAGAGAGAAATACTGATGTGAGAGAGGAACATCAATTGGTTACCTACTTCACACGCCCCGACCAGGGGCGGGAGCAAACCCAAACCCAGGTACGTGCTCTTGACTGGGAACTGAACCCGGGACCCTTCGGTGTGCAGGCCTACGCTCTAACCACTGAGCAACACCCACCAGGTCTTCATTTAGTTTTTTAATTCATGTCTGTCTTCCCCGCTAGCATGGAGCTTCCTGAAGGTAGGGGTTGCATTTGTTTTGCTCACCTCTGTATTCCCAGCATTTATTAGTACAGCGCTTAGCACAGGGCAGGCACTCAAATTATGTCTTCCTCTATTGGCCATTGAGTTCCCTAAGCATTCTTGTCTTTTCTACTACCCTACCTATTGCATCAGTTCTAAAATTCTTATTTTCTACAATTTAACCTCTCTGAAATCTGGAATCATAATTAAGAGTGTCTTACGATCATTATCATGCAGATGGGGTTGAGATATAATAGAATTTAAATCACCTATGGACACATCCTGACAAGACCAACAAGCAGCCATCGACAAAACAATTTAGATTCGATAAAATGTTGGTTTAATTCAGTGCCTGGTACCACCTCTCAATGATTTACTCAATAATCTGGCATCATTTTCAACTCCTTATCCCCAATATCTCATCAGTTCTGTCTCCTTAATATTTTAATTTTTTCGTCCACTCCTACCTTTCCATTCTCATTATCACTACTATAAATGTCTTCTGATTCTACAGCTTGAAGTTCCACCTCTTCCCCACCCCTGTTCATCTTCTTCTGAAATTATCTAACAAAAATCTGATGTCAGTCCCCTACTTAAATCCTTTAGTGGCCCCCCAGATGCAGTCGGGTATCTCATACCCCATTCATGAGCTAGCCCAACTTAGTAGACCATCTAGCCTCTTCTTTGGACACCCCACAACATTCTATCCCTGTTTTAGCTACTGAACAACATTATTTTCATTTCTTTCAACACTCCACACTCGCCCTAGGCCCTAGCCTCCAGTTAGGTGACATCTATCTACTGTTGTTTACACTAGCAATAACAGTGTACACAACAGCAGATATGTTGAACAAGCAGGGGCTTATTTCTAGTATGGGTTAGTTAGTAAACAAACATCAGTCAATAAGAAAACGTCATATAGTAACGAGTGCTATGAAGAAAAAAAAGATGAGGGTACCGTGACAGGGACCGAAATGGGTAGCTTTTTTTTTTTNCATCAGTCAATAAGAAAATGTCATATAGTAACGAGTGCTATGAAGAAAAAAAAGATGAGGGTACCGTGACAGGGAGCGAAATGGGTAGCTTTTTTTAAAAAAAAAAATATGATTTTATTGATTTTTAGAGAGAGAGGAAGGGAGAGGGATAGAAAGAGAGAAACATGGATGAGAGATAAACATCATCTATCAGCTGCCTCCTGCAGGCCCCCTACTGGGGATCAAGCCTGAAACCCAGGTGTGTGCCCCGACTGGGAATGGAACCAGTGACCTCTTAATTCCTGGGTCATTGCTCAACTGCTGAGCCACACCGGCTAGACACATGGCAGCTTCTTTAATCTAGATATTCAGGAAAAGCCTCCTTGAGGTGACATTTAAATAGAAATTTTAACAATAAGAAGCCTGCCATGCAAAGAGTTGAGCAAGTAAAGGGTTCCCTCAGCTCTATGCTCCTCCGACCTCCCTCCCTCTTTTGCATAGCTCTCCCTTTAGAATTACAGGTCCTGGCTTAGCGGTGTCTTCCTCCAGAGGGCTTTTCCGGAGTTGCCAAAATGGATCAGGTGACCCCTCTTATGTGGTCCCAAAACAACAAGTTCTTACCTCTACAGAAGCACTTACATTGTACCTGTCAATCTTTCCTATTTAAATTCTTTTTTTTAAAAAAATATATCTTTATTGATTTCAGAGAGAGGCAGGGAGAGGCAGAGAGAGATAGAAATGTCAATGATGAGAGAGTCATGGATCAGCTGCCTCCTGCATGTCCCTGACTGGGGATCAAGCCCATAACCTAGGCATGTGCTCTTTTTAATCTTTCACTCAGGTAGACAGAGGATAGTGAAGGTATGGCACACAGTTTGGGGCCTAAAGGATTCCATCACAAAGGCACAACTTGTTTGAAAGTTTTGTGTTTTATCCCAAAAGCTCATGCTTCTACTCCATGATATGTTTGCTTCCATAAAAGCTATCATCCTCTCCCCTAATATCTTTGAGTAAAACTGAGGCTCCAGGAAGATGTACTGTATTNACTCCATGATATGTTTGCTTCCATAAAAGCTATCATCCTCTCCCCTAATACCTTTGAGTAAAACTGAGGCTCCAGGAAGATGTACTGTATTCACCTCGCAGTTTTGCGTACTCCTGACACACAGCAGTCAGCAGGGTAGACATGCATTCCCACTTGACACCCTGCTTACTCAGCGGTCTCATGCACCACACACACCCACACACACACCCACACACACACCCCCTCACTGGTCACACTTCCATTTCATTTGCTTGTCTGCTATCTAACTACTGGACTGTGAACTCGTGAGGGCAGGAACTCATCTTCACTCAGTGCTTAATAGAGCACCTGCCTAGCAGTGTTCAATTAACATTAGTTAAATAAATGAATGCTTTCCTATAAATAGATCCCAGAAGGGAATTTGTTCCATTATNATAGATCCCAGAAGGGAATCTGTTCCATTATATACTAAAATATTTATGAATGAAATATTTAGGATTTACTTAAAGATAAATAGGGAATGAAGAGGGCAATGGGAAGTACAGATGAAACAAGTTGGGTGAGGGTCTATTACACTTGTCTGTTTACTTTTGTGTGTGTTTGAAATTTTCCAGTTAAAAAAGATCTGCTCTATTTTAAACTCTTTCCTCTAGCCTCTCTGGTAGTCTTATAACTTACAAACTCTACTCTGTAATAGAGAAAGAAAACCCTTTTACTGTATTTCATCCTGCAAAGCCATGTGATACTATGGTGATCCCTATAAAAGGTGATGTCAAATGTCAGACTGGGAATGAGCAAATTAAGAGTTATTAACAAAATATCTACATTATTACATTTTGATCTGATATGTTAAATATATCATGTTATTTTTCGCTGTTTTCAACACCAGAAAACAATCTTGTTCAACTTTCTAGTTGTATATAAAGATTTAGGAGTTAAGGGGTATTTAAAATGTGCAAACGGTACATGCTGGGGAAAAAGAATATGCTTTTTAATTCAAAGAAGTATATTGGTTCAAAGTAATGCTGCTGGTTTTTGTGTTTCCTGTTGATAAACTCTATGACAAAAGTGTAACTTTTGATTGCTTCAGGTTGCTTAGGTGAGTGGAAGACAGCACAGGATGAGAATACAGCAGCAGTAAGGAGGCTGATGGTCATCATGCCAGTGCTGGCAGCAAGGGCAAACTGACAGCTCAGACTAAGCGGCAGCAAGCAACATTATATAAAGATCACATTTCCCGTATACATTCACAATTATTTGGAAACAGCTATATACCACAAATCTTCAGATGAGACCTCATTGTCACTTACCTCTCCTGATCCTTCTTGAATGGAATAGTATGTAAAATAGTTCCCAAAATAAGCTCCTTCTGATTTGAAAACAGATCCATCTCCGGGATAAATCTCTATTGAGTTCACATTTTTATGGGTAAGTCTAAGGAAAAGAAATAATCATTAAAATTTTTTTTTTTCTAATTGAGATTAAAACACACATGAAGTCAATTATCAAAAAAAAAAAAATAGGCAAAGATGTATGATTTTTTTAACTATCTAGCAAATGGATAATTTCATACTCTGTATCCCCAGCCAGCTAAATTATTTTTTTTGGCAAAAATATGAATAGAACGCCCAGAATCGGTTGATGTCTCTACTTCAGCACTAAGCTCAGCTTCTGGAGGTGAGGCATCTTATCATCCTGGTATCCCCCNTTGGCAAAAATATGAATAGAACGCCCAGAATCGGTTGATGTCTCTACTTCGGCACTAAGGTCAGCTTCTGGAGGTGAGGCATCTTATCATCCTGGTATCCCCTTTGCTGATCACAGTGGCTGGTACACAATGGTCACCAAAGCAATGCTCATTAAATATAACAACTCTAGAACCCAAGAGTAAGACTATTCTTTAATAACGAAACTAGTAGAATCAATACCTGGTGGGTGAGATTAGCCATGTGTAGAAGGAGCCATCCCTAAGAGAAGATGACTGGGTATTGGGTATATAAGGAATAAAGATTTAAGCCAAGTCAATTTTATCGAAACATATATGAAGAGGGTCCTCATGCAGGGAAAGGAGGCCCAAGAACAAACAATTCACAGTCTCTTCTAGCACTGTTTATAAGAGTGAACCTCCGGGTCTGGCCAACACCAGTGTTCCAGTCACTAGAGAGGTAGGGTGAACTCAATTGAAGAGTGCGGCACAGGGCAGCCACTCAGTGAATATTTGCTGAGTGAATGTATGGTGAAATCTCCCTCAGGCTCTCTAATTCTCTAATTCCACGCTCCCCAGGCGACCTTCTGATGTGACTGGCTTAGAGAGTAATCTCCCATGCTTGGAAGAGGTGTCCTAAACAGCTGACATGTATCTCATTCACTAGCAACACTAATCCCTCGCTGGCTTGGCGCTGTCACAAAAATCTTGCAAATATGGTTAATGTGAATTAGTAGCAAGACCCCTGTGTGTCCTAATATAATTAGTTGTTGAGATCTTACACCTCAGAACCAAACGCAGGAGCGCGGTGGCCCCTGCAGATCTATCCTGTGTAGCTTATCTGCAAGGCTGGTCCCGCCCCCAGGACATCATGAAGCAGCTCGGACTCCACCCCGGTGCCTTACCTGTATGTGACACCCTTGTACCACACCACCTTCACTAGTTCAGGGGAGGAATATTCTCCCTCAGATGGTCCCTGTGACAATGAATCGCAAAAATCCCACCTGTGAAGGATGAAATTCAAGGTCTGATCCCGGTGGCCCAGCACACTGCCCCGAGAGGCCAACAAAACAGCCCCACTGCAACACTCTGTAGTTCTCGCCCAATCATTACATCAAAAAAGGTAGGCGTTAATATGAAAGCATGTTAATTAAACTCTAAAACGAGTCTTATTTTCAATAATCTCATACTGAATCTCAGCACAGTTACCTAATTAACAATTTTACTAATCGTAAAATTAGGATTCAGGATTCAAACAACAAATATTGAAGTATCTATGGTGGGCCAGGTGCTGTATACACACCGGGGATATAACACCCAAGAAAAGCAAACAAGGCTGCTGTGATGCTAGATAGTAAATACTGAGCAAAAGAAGGGGGAATTGCTGAATGGTACAGGGTTGCGAGAACCTGATCCTGTCTAGGGACCGCAGGATAACCCCCCCCCCCC